TTGAAGTTTCGAGGTCGGTTACTGGATGCCGGTCCTCCACACGTACGACAAATATTCAAAACACCGCCACACACACCGCCACACACAGGGGTAAGTTGCTTGAAGGGGACTGGAGTCCGAACTCGGTTATTTGCCCGCGAGCACCAAGCACCTGGCGATTCTTTTTGAGTATACACAAAGACGAAGACATAAATTGTTAGGCGCGTAACTCGCCGTCCGCAACGTACAGAAGAATACAGTACCACCCTGGCCGAAGATGGCACTTGTTGTTGTTGTTGTCTTCACATTAAAACCGTTCCGATCTCTCTCTACCCAGTACCTTCGTATGTCCGTACTGATACAACACTCGACGCGGTCGATTCCCGTGCTCGCAGGCTAACTTACCCTAAAAAGGTACGCTCAAATAAAATGGCCCCGAGGGGTCCGCAAGTCAATAGAAATCAACGCCAGATATTCTGGAGTCCTCCACTCCCTCTGCGCGCTATGCAAGGTAACAACTGAGACTAGGGGTCACGATCACGGGCCGGAGAGAATGAGGCACACCCCCTTCATTCAATCTTGGTACAGAAACAAGCAACGCAAGCAGAAACAAGGCCACCTGGCACAGAAAACGAGAGAAAAAGAGAACAAGAGAACAAGAGAAGAAAATAAAAGGAAAAAGTAAGGGAAGGGAAAATGAAATAAAAAGAGCGAGGACAAAAAGGGACCAGGCCGAAAATAACAAGAAATTAGAGACAGAAAAAGGCACACGGTGGAGAGACCACTAACGACAAGCAAACACGCAAACATGGCCACCAACCAGCGATACATTGTAATGGTACGTCATCACTAGTGGGGGGTTGGTGCAATGGTGCAGCGTTNTGAACCTCTCAGCTCCCTGCAGCACCGCCGCATGCCAGGGTACTCCCCCCTCTACTTTCGCGGCTTGCGTCCACTTAAACGTCGGTGCCGTGTCTTTCGGTACCGGGATTCCGAAACAACATGGATCGGTTTTCGTAGATCCGTGGTCGGCCCCGAATGCCTTCAGGTCGTCGAGCACACACCTCGGCCAGTTGTGTTCCTGTCCCCCCCTACGTCGCTTCTCCCCCCCTGCCAGTTCGCCGAACATCAGTCGTTTCGGGAGTCGCCCGTCCGGCTGCCTTGCCAATGCTCCCGCGAACTGTAGGCGTCGTTGTCGGATCGTGGCTTCAACGCTCTGATATTCGACCCTCTTCAGCGTCTGGGCGTAAGAGAGCTGCCGGTAGGTGTCATTCTTGCGCTTGTACCCGATAACTCGAAGGAGCAGTCGGTGGTGTATCGACCGCAGCGTCTGATAGTGGCCGCTGAGTGGTGACCATGTCATGCAACCGTACAGCAGTGCCTCCATCGCCTCCGCCTGGAGCAGGCGGATCCTGAGTCGGAATGGCGCTTGCGGTCTGTCGAAGAGCTCCCGGCCATATCGCCTGAGGCACGCCCACGCTCCTCTGCTCCCGTATGTAGTTGATCTCCCGGGTGAGGTCGCCATGTTAATTGACGAGGCCACCGAGGTACCGGAACTCGGTCATCTGGGCGTATTTCTGTCCCGCGGCTTCGATGGTCAGCGGTGGAG